AGGGAGGGAGGGAAGGGACAGGGAGTGGTGTGGGGGTGTGATAATAAAGGGGAAGGGGTAGTGCTGGGCCTCGTCGTCATCCTGTGTCGTTGCGTGGTCGTCGTTGCGTTGTCGTCGTCGTTGCGTTGTCGTCGTTGCGTGCCGTCGTCGTCGCATTGTCGTCGTCGCGTGGTCGTTGTCGCGTTGTCGTCGCCGCGTGGTTGTCGTCGCCTGTCGTCGTCGTCGCGTGTCGTCGTCGCGTGTCGTCGTTGTAGCCGTGGACGTTGTTGTTGTCGTGGGCGTCGTTGCCATCGTGCCGTGGGGGGCTTGTTTGATTTGTGACGTGGCGTTGCGGCATTCACGTCGTCGTCGTGGTGGGCACTCGTGGATGGTGGTGGGTGCTCGTGCATAGCGGTGGCGTTGTCGTTGTCGTCCGTTTGGTTGCCACGTCACTGGCGGTGGTTGTCGCCGTTCGTCGCTTGGTGGTTGTCGCCGTTGTGGGGTTATGTGGGGTTGTCGTCGTCGTCGTGGGTGGCGTGGCGTCGTCGGTTTATCGTGACTGTCGTGGGGGGTGGGGAAGAGGATGGGTGGTGGTGGTAGAAAGGAATGGTGTTGCATTTGTTTGGTAACGTTGCCTTTGTTTGGTAACACAAGTAAAATAAACAAACAAAGGACCGGATTCCGTTGCATTCCGTTCCTGTGCATTCCGCGGATCATTCCGGTGTCAATTCCGGAATGCCCAAATTCCGCCGGAATGGTAAGGCACCGGAATGATAAAAATGGCAGGCCTCCCTGCCAAATTTCATTCCTCCGGAATCCACCGGAATCCGCAGGAATGACCGGAATCCTGCAGGAATTAGGGGGGCACTGATAAGACCTCCATTGACCTTGTACTCTCTACAACACCAATTCAATATATTTTTTGCAATGGGTTTGACTGAATTAAGTGAATGAATCCATTGAGAGAGTTTTCCATGTAGCAATTGCATTTATTGCTCCAAAAATGCGAAATCAGTCTGTTTTCCCTGCCAACTCAGGCAGTCTGAAGAGATTGGAATATAACTTTTCAACAACAGCATGTATGAACATGATTTGCAGACGGATTTTACTTAAAATTTAAATTCCAATCGATC